CCCTACAGCTGTACCTGGATAAAAGCTGCACATCACATGAAACCCTGAATTCCTAGCCCCAGAAAAACGGAATATCAAAATGATCTGTTACACCTATAGAAGAAACAGGTTTATCTAACAACGAAGTAGTATACCCTACTGAAGAGAACCTGCTACAGTGTATCTCGGGCAAGGATTTCCAATCAGTAAATTTGCCTTTGAAGACAATAACAACATATGGTCAATTGCATGGGAGTAGACAAGTAAAATAACCTCCTGGTCTAAAAAAAAGAGAGACCATCATCTACAGATTCCAAAAACTGATTCAACTTATACTATCCAAAAAGTAGCTTGCCTCAGTTGTGAGGTATGCTTGTAATCAGTAAACTATCCTGCTTTGAGAGCAGGCGTGGGCACACCAGAACTTAAGGGAGGGGAGCAAGGTCTCCAGCCCTCTCAGATAAAGTCTGTAACCCCTGCACAAATAACCTCTGAGAGGTGTTGCAAACACAGTTCTGTTCAAATCTGTGGACAATCTGGGGGGAAAAAGAGCAAGAGGTGTGAACTGCCCTTCTTCCTTTTGAGGCTGTAATGATTCTGAGGTCTATACACACCAGTTTAAGTGTCATAATGATTAACTATTTCACTGTTGATCACACCCTGAGAGAACATACAGCACTTGCTGGGATGACACCAGGGAAATCTGCTATGCTGGGGTCATGTTTACAGTCCCATAAAGCTGTATTTGGCTTGTCAGTAGACGGTCCTGCTCCCATTTCCACCCTCTTCAACCCCAACTGTTGTCACAGTATTAAATTAAATCAAAGTATAAATCCTCCAGGTCCTATCAGCTATACAGTAATTCACTTCAGATCACTCTTAAAGACAACAGTCTAAGAATTAAGCTTTTATCTCAGAAGGACTAACACCAATATAGGAAATACTGATGCCTCCCAGCGTTCCTCGCGTGGGTTGGATTGTTCCTGCCTAGCCTTGGCTTGGCAATGATATTTGGGACTGTCCAGATGACTGAGAGCAGCCAGGTCAGTGTGTCAGTGCCCTCCAGGCGAGCTGCCGCATGCTGCTAGCCCCCTACTATTCAAAACCATGTGGGTTAGCTTAAAACCACCTTCAGTGGTGATTTAACAAATCCATCTGAATCTGCATTTAGCTGAGGGGCAATGACTTTTCTAAATGGCTGTGTTAATTGCTTACAGTCTCTGATCCTCTCTCCATAAGTGTACTCAGCGTAGGCAGAATAAGTATATGACACCTTTAAAATCTGTACAACTGTCCTTCCAGTGAGTGTGGAAAATGCACATTACATGACTTTGGAGTCTAGCAGCATACACTTACCCCAAATAATTCTCTGTCCCAGATCCACTCCTAAGTTTAGCACTGCCTCGGCAGCAGTAAAAAGAAGCTTTAAGCTACAACTCAGACCAAGTAAAATTCCCCATACTGTCTCCTGTTACAAGCTGAACAATTTTAAGATGTCAAGATACAAAGCAAAATATTAATTCTGGGCCTAGAATTCTAAATTTGGTAACCAAAAGTCATTCAATACTGCTTTATATTCATGTGTTAATAAGCTTATCACGTGCAGAATGCTGCACTTGGAGTGAGCACCTCTTCCAACAGAAGTGATGTGATTTTACTTCCTCATGCCGGTGTTATCAGACCAGTTGTTGCCAACTCTCAAGAATTTAATACAAGTTACAAGTCTTGAGATACCTGTTGGGCTTTTTTTTAACACACACACATATATGGAGACAGATAATTACATGAGTCTTAGTTTTTATTTCCTGGGGCAAGGAGAGGGAAGGATAAGTCTAAATCTCAAAAGGGCCAGAGAAAAGTTTAAAAAAACCCAAACCAGTCTTAAGGCACAGTAAAAAGCTCAAGATTTTCTAAGCCATTTTCATGATTCTGAGGACCTAACTTTTGAATTCTCTGGGCTGGTAAAATTAATTCAATAATTTTCAGGATTTCTTGCTGGGATTTAACCATCTCCATTGTTGTCCCTCCCCATCACAACCAAGTTCTAAGAGCCCTACTTCTCCCCTTGTTCTTTTGGCTATTACAAATTACAAATAACCTGTACCTACACACTAAAAATAATAAAAGGCGTATTTCAAGCTTACCCACAAACTTCTGTGGGGTGGAGCTTTTACGCTTTCCCATGTTGCTTGTCAGCTTCTCTATAACAGCAGGTCTCTCAAAAGGCACCAGAGAAATATTGTTGTCCATCACAGGCTCTTGTTCCTTACAATCTTCCATAGGAGGTACTACATAAAACCAAAAAATCGTATCAGGTAAGTCTGGTCTACACTTCACAGACAGCACACATCATTTGAGCCCTGCTGGCTGCCCAATGAGTGCAACACAAAATAAAGTTATGTGTAGGAACATGCTGGGCATTAAGATAGCAATGACCTTTAAGTAGAGCTACATTTTCAAAATGTCTCTCTTTGGGACCATCTTATTTAGCAGAAGTCTAACTTTAAGCATTTATTAAAGGACTTGTTTTGTTCTGAATACTCAAGATCCCCAGTGAGGAGGGGACACTTTTTGAAAACTGTCTCTGTAGATCACATTTTATGTTATTCTCCCTTCAATATGGTCACTTGTTGCCAGTGTAACTTTTTAGTCATCATTCTTTGTGTATTCCCTTAACTTCACGCTTATTATATAGCATGCTTACCATTCTTGTCTCCTTTTCACAGTAATCTCAATGACTAAAAGACATACAAAGCATTGATGACTTGTGTTTCCTGGGCCTGGCTGTTCATTCCCTAAGACAAAGACTTCCAGAGTGAAGGATCTTTTGTTACAAATGTGTTTCCTCTTTCTATACATGAGACTGTAAAATCAACAAATGCAATACTGGAATTACAGGCTTAACATCATATGGAAATTCCCTTCAGAATCAGTCACAGAAACTATCAATTTTTTTGATTAATATTTTATCCCTAACAACTGGTGATCAGCAGGGAGTATTCCTGTACTAGCCACATTAGTGGAATGCTCATACGTTGTCTTTGAGACAATAACAAGAAATTAAAAACCACTCCTGTCTTTACTCATTGCACTTTTTGTCGCTTGTTGGATTAGGGAATAAAGTGCTAGAGCAAAAGCAGTATAGGAATTGCATGGGCTACCCACCAGGGTAGCAACCAGCTCGCACAGGTTTTACGTCACTTGCTGACATAGCCAATCACTAAATACCTACAGAGTACTCTGGTTTTGTTGAGCATCCTCTTATAAACACCAAGAAGGGTCAGTGGTACCACGCTGTGGATCAGGCTCAGAGAGTCCAAGTCATTTTAAAAATATGTCAAAAGTGTGCTTCCACGTGTAGCTCTTCCCACTGCTCTGCTGCCAGGAATTTAATACATGGCCTAATTGCCCCACATTCATCTTCATCACGTAGCAAGAGAAACCTGAGAAGCATCAGCCACTGGTCCACGTGCTAATGGGATGGCTGAGGTGTAAAAAGTTATTTGGGGAGAAGAATGGATGGCAGAGAAATAGAAACTGGGATGATCTTGCAAAGAGTTCCTATAATTTGCAAACTGTGAGCAACCCATTGTATTCTCTGTATTAGACAGATCTTCCAGACAAGTCACAGGTGATATTGCAGAGGTAGTAGAGAAGGATTGAAACCCCCGTCTTCTGCTAGTCCTCCTTGAGTCTCTCACCAATAGAAGCTTTTCGTGCCACAGATACCTTCTCCTTGAGACTGTGCCATAAATGAACACTGCCAGTCTACTTTCCTCCCATGTAATTTTACTACCTTCAGGATCCTAATATGGAATAATCACTCCCCTGTTCTTAAACATGCAGCTGTTTGCTAGCATATAAGATATGAAAAATGGGGTGATAAAAGTTTTGTCTTTTCCTTCTTTCTAGTAAGGAAGTGCAAATACCAGGCAATTACAAAACAGAGTATCTGCTCAGGTGAACTTCTCAATTCAGACATTCATAATAAGAAAACATGGCAATTTATTCATTTGATTCCATTTGTGCCTCTGCTGCTATGGAAAGCTGAGTACTTTGAGGCTTAGAATCCACCATATGCTATAAAATGATTTACTCTGCTGCTTTTTTATTTGTACAGGATGCTCCCCCTGAGAAACACAATGGTTTCTCATTTACAAGGCAGTCCTGCTGGCATCAGTGAAAGAGAGGAAGAAAAAGCGTAAATATGAAATTAATCTAAAGTTGCAACAAAATGGGATGCAGTGTTTGAGTGACCTAATTAGTGCCCAGTGCAGACTGGGAGGTCTGGAGTACTTTAATAGCTAAGGCTCAATTTTTAAGGTTATTTAAATACTGTGCTTGATCAGGAACTATCTGCACTACTTCTACTCAAGTATTTCCTGAGAAGATTTTGTAAGAAAGGAAAGACGATGACTGTTGATTTTCACTGGGAACTGGTATCTGACTGTCCTTACCAAAAATCTTACCAAAAAAAAAAGCTTACCAAAAATCAGTGTATACATGCATATGCATATACACTCTGCATGAAACCCTGGATCCCTGCTCAGTGGCAATACTCATCCTCACTGCAACAGGCCAGGTTTGCACATGAATGTCACTTCAAGAATTTCCAGCCCTTGGTGTACAGGACACATGAACCTGATGGTGGGGACCTAGAGAGGTGCAGAGGGCTCTAAACCCCTCCTAGGAAGACTTCCTAAAGGTTTGCTGGCTTTGTAGGACCGTTCTTGCTGACAAAATCAGTTGAAAAACTTCTAATTACTTTCATAGCCATCTGATTAAGCCCCAAATGTAGTGACATTTGTATGTCTTACAACAATTAAGTAATAATTAAATCATTCTACTGTTGGGCATATGTGTGCAAAATTTCCTAGACGGAATTTGAAACCTTTCTTCCATGAAAAATGAATAGTGCTAAAAAAGACATCTGCTCTCCTCTAAGTCAGGCAAAAATTCTGCTTGGACTCCTTTTAAAAGTAAAATCTTCACCAATAAAACAAATTTCTTTTATATCTTTCATGCTGCAAGCTCTATTTCCCACCAACATTTGTGTTAGGAAGGGAATAAGTTACCAGAATTTGTTTTGTTATGTAGATTTCCTGGGAGAAGGGAGAGATGGAAACAGCCTAGTTTCTGAAACCATTTAAAATGAATGCAAAACCGGACCAAAGAGGCGAGACGTCACATTTTAGAAACCCATAGAGTTAAGCTAAAGATCACATTGTTAATTCTAGATATATTAATTTTCATTTCAATTTAAAAAATACACAAATAAAGGACAAATGGTCCAAGCCTGAATCAATTTTTTGAGGAAAACAAAATAAAAAAGGGGAAAACAAACCGATCACACACAACCAACAGTTACCACAAATCAGCTACTCTGTGGTAGAAGCTCATGTGTACACATTTACTCTGTGGTAAATGCAATTCCTTTTTTGTTATATTTCATTGTACTTCATTACCTTGGTAGTGGGAGCTACCGAAGAACAGCTGACACTGCATAACTAGCTTTGATACATCAACTCATTTTATCCTGTGGACTTATGGTCTCAGCTCACAAAGGCTTTTTTTTATTCTTAAAAATCAAGCATCTAGTCCATGAAAAGCCCATGCTTGAGTACATTTCTGGTCATGGATGTTCTTAAGCAGCTATCAGTGTGCTCCTGGACTGTCAATGCAAATATTCACCATCTCTGACACTGTTAATGTCCTCAATAGCAGCTAACACCAAATGTTTTTTCTAAGCCCAAACTCAATACACAAACCTAGATGGTTTCAGAACAAAGTCTTTACTTCCCTGAAGACACTGGTCTTTCAATCACAGTGCTCCAAGTGCCTATCTTTTAGTTTTTTGCTTCTTAATTTGTGAGAAACCACACATACTATTAAAGTAGTTTATACTGTTCCAGTGAGGAAAGAATAGGGGGGGAAAAAAAAGAAGTAAAAAAAATTATCCAGCATGCGTTTTGCTGATAAATACTTTTGTGTGCAGGCAACAGACACTGGGCTAAGTCTCAGCTGGTATAAATTAGTATTACTCCATCAACCTCAATTTCCTTTCCTAAGCTCACAATATTGCTATTTTAAAAAAGTGTGTGTGAGCAGAGAAATGACAGGAAACATTCCCAAGGACCCTGGTGTGAAGTCTCCTGTGGGACCAGCATTTTAACAATGTTTTAAGCAACTATGGAAGAGGGAAGTACACAAGGCCATTGTGTGTTTCATGTGGAGCTGGCCTTTGAGCCTTGCACAGCCTAGGGCTAGGCTTCTTTCTCCTTCTCCTAAAAAGAGCATCCTCTCCACTCCACTTTAAGAATTTCCCTGGACTTTCTGCTTTGTGGAGAACAACTTATAACTGGGTGTAAGCCATAGCTAGCGTTTAACATTTGTCTCTGTTCATTCCTGTAAAGCTTGTGTTCTTGGCATTCAGAGACTGCCACTTTTGTCACTCCCAACATGCCGCTAGCTAGGAGACCACAGACTAATTTCTGCCTTTGGGGCCAGCACTTCTTCGCTGAAAATTGCCAACAGTCATGCTGAGCAGGGGACAAGACCCAGCCACAAGGATGGGCAGCTCAGCAAGAAACTGGCACCCTGTGAGGACGAGATGGAAAGACCCAGAACTTGTACATTCCTACCCACACATCGAAACTAGCCCTTCTTCCCCTCCTCTGGCTTCCCTTTGTGGCTTTGGTCAGGTGATCTAGCCATCTGTGAGACAAAGATAATTGAAATTAAAGGCCTTATCAGGTCACCATAAAAGCAGTCAAGTAGATGTCTATAGCATGCCTATAAACTGATCAACTTGAGCACAATGCTTGAAAAAAAATCCAAACTCTCTAGGGGCTGCCTCCAGGTTTCTGGAACAATTAATCCCTGCGGAAATAATTTAGTCCGATGTTAAATGTTGGCCATATTAATTGAGACTCAGCACAGCCGCCTGCATCCTTAAAGAAGGACACCAGTAGGGATAAGAAAAGATCCACCTCTACCTATTCTGTGCCAGTAGTGAAGTTGTGACCAGGAGTCACACCAAAATGCACTCAGAGGCTTCAAAATGCTCAGTGAGAACAAAATACTTCAAAATGATTTGGAAAAAAGAGAGTCAGGAGAACTTAATCCTAATGTGATGCAAAATACACCAATGATCAAAATCTCCAAAGCATGCACTCACTTATCCTCAGGAACATCCTTTCCATGTGTGACATGGGAGAGAAGAAAATAAATACATTTTTCAGGGTTGGACTAAGACCTAACTTTGTGCTGAGTAACCATCTGAATACTCTTTGCTGGTGTCTTTATAGTCCCAGGAGAAAGGACTTTGCTGCAGACCTCTACAGGTTGGTGCTCATGACCCTGACTCTCACGCCGAGCTTCACAGGTGGGAGTGATGCTGGGTTGTGAAGTGAGATTAACTACTGGTCCCAGATGAATCTGGAGCTCCCTGTCGCAGCTGGTCCTTGTCATGCCCTCACTAAACAGCTAAGCGAAGACAGTGGATCAGATATCCCCTTAAATATTCACCAGGGGAGATGTAGACATATTTGCCCAGAGAAGAAAGAGGCACTAGTTGAATTCAAAGTGCTGTTTAAGCTAATTTTGCTGAGAAAAGTGAAGTGGTTGTGTGAACATTTCTATTTTAAGCCCAAGCAAAGTCAGACAGGCTGTAAATAAAAGAACTGTCCACATGGGGTTTGCACTGGTTTAACTTCAGTTGGTATAAAAATCAATGCAAGGTCAACCATTCCAGCTTCTTTGGGTAGACAAGGTTAAGGACTTAGCCTTCTTGTCATAGCATTAAGCAGCTTAGAAAAAGCTTTAGATTTCCTCAGAAGTACACTATCAACAAGAGTAAACACAATTTTAATAAGTAACTGAATAATAAACCCAGAAGTCGAATGGAATTTGGGAAGATCCTCCACACTGTGACCTCTGAAGCATCCTGGCTGTTATAACTATATCGGCCTATAGTTATTTCCCCAAGGAAAGTCTATCACCCAGCTGGTTAATGAGAGGCACACCCTTGTAGAGTGAAGAGAGGGTATTTTGTTGGGAATGGAGCTGGTGGTTAAAACCCTACTATCAACCAAGCACTCTGTCTAAGAGACCAGGCACACAACAGGTACCTGCAAATAGCAAAGCCCTGAAATCAGTCTCTCCACTGGCTTTTACAAATGTTAAGTCAGGTCTAGAGCACATGATCACCAACTTCAATGTCTTAAAATTCACCCACTAAATTTTAACGGCTGTTTTTAGTCTTCACAGTGTCTAAAAAGGTAGTAATTACTTAATGGAGCTGTATGAATATGTTGGCAGAATGTATAAAATACATTTTTAATGCCTTCATAGGATTAAATTGTTCATGGAAAAGTACTCTTAAAATTTTTTGGTGATTTTTTTCACCAAAAAATAGCCTACATTAGAAATGCTAAATAGATTTTATTTCAGCTTGTATTTTTAGGTTTTTAGAAATGACCTTTCAGAACTTCTACGTAATTAATTTCCAAATGAAGTCACATGACTCCACTAAACAAGGAAAAGCAAAATGGAAAAAAAAAAAGAGGAAACAATCTTTCACTTTTTCATTTACCTACGATCTAACTTTTTGGTATTCTTAAGTATGTGGTAAATTTTAATAAAAATGGAAATGGAAAACATTAATTTTTATATTTTCTGATTAATAAGAAATTTTAAACACTGCAAGTACTAAACATCTGAAGACAATTTTTAAAAGTTAAAAGATGTTCTATTTCAGAAGAGTTTTTGAAACACTAATTTTCTAATTTTGAATGAAATTATAACATTTTTTGGACAGCTATAATTTAGTATTTAGTACTACAGATGAGCCTACAACCCTGGAGTTTGAGACATGCTCATTATCCATACTAAAAGCTACAGAAATTTTTGAAAATAAATTAATGGAGTTGGACATTTCTTGCTTTCAACAATCTTTTTGGCAATCTTCAGTCTTTATGTATATTAACACATGCAGTGTTAGTTAACATATTAATACTAACACATGTAAATGCATATTAACATTTTTTTTGGGTTATAATTACTTTCATCAACACTGATGAATTCCATTCTGCTCCAAAGATTTATATAACTATCCCCGCCTTGTTTTGGGATAGAAGATAATATTACAGGGAGTAGAAAAAATTACTTCTGAATACCTCCACCATCCTTAACTTTTATAATTATCAGTCGCTATCAGAAAAGAAGGGGAGAGGAATCATACATTTCATATATGGCTTAGTTAATTTTTAGGGTAATTTTGCACAGGTGACTTTGCTTTATTTTCAGGTCTGCATAATTATACATACTAAAAAGTTAAATAATGACTTAAAAAAAAAAACCAAAACAGCAAAACTAGACAGAGTGAGGATTTTAGCCCACCTTTTCTCCTCCTGCCTATCTGAGTACAAGCAAACTATGAGATGGAAGTGATGCAAAGCTGAAAGGAAGGAAGAAAAACAGATGGAAAAAAACCCGCAAGAGATGCTCCAAGTCCAAGAGACCTCAAAAGGCAGTTTCCACCCACCATGGTGACTCATGACCTGCCCGGCAGCCTCCATACTGACATTCTGCAGATAGTTGTGGCAGCGTTCCTTGTGCTCCTCCAGCGAACTGCGCTGCTTGTAGCTCCGGCCGCAGTAGTTGCACTTGTGAGGCTTCCCCACTGTGGAAAGAACAAGAGTATCAGGTCAAATCCACTGCAACCTACTTTTTGCTATCAAAAATCACACCTTTGCAACAAACAGCTCTTGTGATGGAAAGATACGTAAGAAAGGTTACTCCAGTCCCAGACCTTTTTCCCAGCCCCATTTTCCCACCACACACACCTCCTCCCACCCCCTGGCTACTTCGCCCCATCCGTTTTTCACGCTAACGCGCAGTATCAGCAGAAAGAAAGAGTTGGACTTGTTGGTCGCAAAGCAAATAAACAGATGACAAGAGGGGGAAAACAAACCAAACAGCTGAATCACACTTCAGCACCGCCTGTGTGTCACCAAGTCTCGTGGGAAAGAAACTTCTGAAACATCTTGCCCACGGCACGAACAGTTGCCTTCACAAAAAATGAGCTGCCCCAGTGGCCTAATTCTGCTTCCAACTGTGGGGAAACCCATTACGTGGCCCAGAGGAGTTCTTCTTTCATTGAGAAAATTTTGCCAAAATTACTGAGGGAAGGTTGGAACATAAAAGACAACAGAAAGTAACTCTGGTAACAGCACTGTTACGTGCCAGAACTGAGCTGCCACCAGTAATTCACAGAGACCCGATAATATGAAAACACATATAAATACATATATATAAATACACAAAAGGCCATGTAAATGAAAATCAAGCCAAATGAACACAAGACATAACTCTAACTTTTAATTATTTTTTTTGTTTCACTCAGCAGCATTACAAACAAATGGCAAATGCCTCTTAATACATGCAAAATCTGGCAGCAGATTCTCATAAAGTATATCCCTTTCGTAGCATGTCATTAAGAAACCACAAGAATGGCCTAACCCAAAGCCAGAAAGCTAGCCAGAAGTGTATTTTGCCAAGCCATGCTAATAAAGGTTTTTAATATAATTTAAACTCGTAGAACACGAACATTTCTTCTCTAATAACTAAAGAGCTATTAAGTCAGTACTACAAGCCTTGTAAAACTTGTAAAACCATCGGCTACGATTTTCAGAGCTGGCTGAGGGATAGGGAAGGTCAAACTTCTTCCAAAGTTCTGAAAACCTTAGGTAAGAATTTTACTTTCTGGCCAAAGAAATTGAGAACATCCTCTGTTGGATAATATAGATGTTTCTATTGGGTTTGTCCCAATATTGAAAGCTTTTCATGGTCATTTACTTAATGAAATCCAAGCTGTACTAATTGCAGCCAAAATGCACCGTCACCGCTGGGATGGGAAAATACAGGGGAAGCTGTGGGAAGGACACTCATCACCAAGAAACAGCCAGGCAGAGGGCTCCTTGTGATGGGGCTGAAGCCCCAGACATCAAAGACCCAGAGCCAGGGAAATTCTCTGGGGCCTCTGCAGGACTAGCACATACCCCACTGTGTGCCCCACGTCACCTGTACGATGGAAGGTGAAAAAGCCTGAGCCTTCGGTATCGGAGCTGCTCAAAAAGTTTCAACTGGTTTTGTCTCAGCAAAAAAAAGAGATTTGATGAAATGAACATGCTTGCAGAAAGTTTCTGGCTTTCTCAAAAAGTGTGTGTGTGCAGTTCAGTGACACAATCAAGTTTTCCACTAGGGAAAAAAATCGCTGTTTTTAATAAGCAACCAAACTGTGGATTTATTTCTAAGGCTTATCCTCAGGAAAATGTTGTGTCTTCAATTAAATAGTTGTTGCGGTCTTTATTTTATTTTGCTCACGAGCTTACACTATTGCTGTAACTGGTATTGGTACTGGGAATCTCACTGGAGGCTGAGTGTGAGGCTCATTATCATTCCCAGAGTAATTGCCCTTGACGTGAATGATCCGGATCAAGCCTCAGCTCTTAAACATAAACCAGCCATCTCATTCCGGAAGCACCTTCAGGAAAACATACTGGCAGCTCCCTAGGATGGAAAGACTTTTATCATCACCATTACAATGCTTCATCATGCATCTAGATGGCATCGATGCCTGTCAGTTTGACACCTTTATTAGGAGCTAACTTGGTGTTTAATTAAAAATAATTAAAAAAATCCAATGCAATTGAAGGGATTAACTTAAACTGAGCTGAAGCAGGGCTGAATTAGCCCACCTGGTTTGGCTACCCCAGGTCAAGCAGCTTAGATAAACTGTAAAATGCAGAGGAAAGGGATGATTGCTTTCAGCTATTCCAGAGGTAGCTACAATTAATAAAATATATTATCATATAGCACAGAGAAACACATTCCCCTACAAGGTCACAGTATAAAAAATTGACTTAACAATCAAAAAGAAAGTTGGTATTACACCTCTTCAAAAGGCTCCTACCTGCATTGCAGCAATTTCACAAACTATTCACACACAACAAGGCTGAATTTTTCCAATGACAGTCATCTATCCAAATTCCATCAAATTTCAAGGTTCATAGAGATGATAAAAGTTAATGATAAAGGCACGATTTCTAGACACAATATAGGATTTGAGGAACATAATTTCCCAAGGAAACAAACACTCTAGTACACACACTCCTTCCTCTGGGAAGGAGATAAGAGAATAAACAACATGTGACAATTGTTAGTCATGTTGCCTGATACACAACTGGAAGCTGGTCAGACACAACTGTGAAGAATGAAGATGGGAGCTCGAGTTGAGTAGAATCAAATACAAATCCCTTGCGTTCATTTCCAAGTTCTGTCCCCCCTGCTCTACAGATGCATCTACATCGTAGCCCCACACGTGTAAAATCTGATTTATACTATAAAATTATACAAAGTGACTGTGACTTGGGTTGCAGCACAATTGATTAGGTCAGACCACAATGGAATCAGTTCTGATAGCAGCAGATTGTGTCACCAGCAATTCCCACAACCCAATTGGTAAGAGGTGCAGCTCACCAAGGTAGCAATTACGGTCTGGATTTTAGAAACCTTGTCGTCGTGACAAATGTCAAGTCACTGAAACAGCTGCAAATTTCCCCTCATATTCTCAAAGTAACTCATGACAAAAAAATAGATATATTGGTGGACATGAACGTTGCCAGTGGGTGTACATTTTTCCATCTTTCATATTACCCAATAGAAACATGTAAAAGTGTATAGGAGAATATGGTTCTGGTGATCTCCTCACCAGCATACTTTGTTCCACATAACAAACCACCGCATGAAACCACACGACTGCCAAGAGAGATTTCAGCCTTTGACAACCACTGCATAGTAGGCAAACGTTAAAAGTCAAAATTTTCCCCCAAAACATGTGGCTTGCACTACTGAGCACAAGCAGTCTTGGTCTATAGGCCACTGACTTGAAAGCAGAGTTCAACAGTGCTATAGCCTACCAAACCCTGCTCCAGGCCCCCACTGAAGGCAGCTCTTTCCACCATGGAGACATTTCCACTGGGAAGCCACTCAAAGTTCAGCTCAGCTTGCTTGGTATGAAGCTGCCTTCTCTAAGATCCTCACTGAAGACCATGGTACAGGGACACCATGTCCGGCATTGGACGTAAACACTCTGCCAAAGGTAGTGGAACCCAAACAAAGCCAGTTTGGAAATCCCTTTTTGGGCTAATTATTACTTTATCGCCTTTTCAGGGTAAGCAATCACATTAAAAAAAAAAAAATCATTCTCACAGAAATGATACAATACAGTGAATGCAAACAAGCCCAAAATCTTGAGCAATCTTCCATCTGTTGTTGAACTGGGAAAGACCAGGGCACTGGGCAAAACCCAGCGGCCATACCTACGAAACAGCTAACTTGAAGAATATAAAAAACCACTTCGTATTTCTTCCTGAAATGTCAGAATTTCCACGCATTTAAGCTCAGATTCGTACAGATGACAATGTGGCACAGAAAACCCACAGTGGAGTCTCAGCCTCGAATGGAAAATATTATGACAGTCACAGTGAAAAAGACATTTAAATTTGAAGTACAATTTTTACCATGAAACAGGTAAACCACTTGTTGCAATTCACAGAGAAACGGAGTTTTGCTTGTGAAATTGAAATGTTCATGTGGAGGGAGGAAGGGGAAGAGGAGGAGGACATAAAAGGCAAGGTGTTTCTGAGTTAGGAATACCTTGAGTCCTGTGGGTGAACTTTGATAGTTGAGAAGTCTGCGTGCAGCGACAATGAGATGGTGTAACTCTAAGGTCAATATTCAAGACAGAAAGCAGACTTGGGCCTAGGGAAACTTCTTTCAAGTCATAAAAAAAGGCCAGTGAAAGAGAAAGAGCCCGTAAGGCATTTGCGCAGCATTTTGTTCTCAAAAGAGATAGGAGTGCATAGCAGAATATAAAGTAAGTCAAAGGGAAATAACAAGGCATCCCAGGTAATACCTTGCCACAAGCATATAACATCAGAAAGGCTTACAGGTCAGGTTAAGAACAACACCACACTCAGCTGAGCTAAAATCCTGCCTCTGTTAAGCCCAGTAACAAAACATGCACTGGTTTCAGCAGTCAGGATTAACTACTCCCACATTTCCCTGTTTCAGGTACCACTGTTGCCAGCAGTGTACCCAGGTGGCCAAGAAGGCCAACAGCATCCTGGCCTGTATCAGGAACAGTGTGGCCAGCAGGAGTAGGGAAACGATTGTCCCCTTGTATTCAGCACTGGTGAGGTCACACCTTGAGTCCTGTGTTCAGTTCTGGGCCCCCCAATACTAGAGGGACATGGAGGTGCTGGAGCGTGTCCAGAGAAGGGCAACAAAGCTGATGAAGGGGCCGGAGAACAAGTGTGATGAGTTCACGGCTGAGGGAACTGGGGTTGTTTAGCCTGGAGAAGAGGAGGCTGAGGGGAGACCTTCTCGCTCTCTACAACTCCCTGAAGAGAGGCTGTAGAGAGGTGGGTGTTGGTCTCTTCTCCCAAGTAACAGGACAAGAGGAAATGGCTACAAGTTGCATCAGGGTAGGTTTAGATTAGATATTAGGAAAAATTTATCCACAGAAAGGGTTGTCAAGTATTGGAACAGGCTGCCCAGGGAAGTGGTGGAGTCACCATCCCCGGGCATGTTTAAAAGACAGGTAGATGAGGTGCTTAG